GGAATACAGTTACTCATATTTTGTATTTTAAATACGTAACGGCGGTACATGTATTCCGTTACTCCCCAACACTGCAGATTAATCAAAATTAGAAACATGGCTGCCGTGTCCTCTTGGCTAAAGAAGCAAGGAACCATCCAGCTTGTTATCAGCACTCAGTTCAAAAAGCCTGTATCTCAGATCGTATGGTGGTGCATTAATACCTAGGCACATCTGGGAATGCCCCATCGATGCTGAAAGGTACATACAGATTTTAGAGCAACATTCAGGGAAGGTCTTCCATATTGCAGCAAGACAATGCTCCAAACAACTTGGCTACGTAGCATAGGAGTTAGAATGCTGAACTGGCCCGCCTGTAGTCCACACCTTTCACCAACTGAAAATATTTGGTAGATCCTGAAATGTTAAATATGAGAAAGAAGACCCAGGACTGTTCAGCTAGTACTGCTGGGATGTTGTGTGATTTGCAGATGTTTGCATTATAGTTTTTTTTTTTTGTTTGTTTGTTTGTTTTTTTTACATATTTTACACAGCGTCCCAACATTTTTTTGGAATTAGGGTTTTAAGCTGACAGCTGGATTCTTTTATCTTTTTTTTGTTTAGATTTCTTATATTTTCATTCTAATTTATCCAAATGACAACACGATAATAATATATTTGTAGATTAGTAAATCAGTAGTGGCCCAGATCAGAGGAAATCAAGTGAAATGGTGCAAATAAATTGTAAAATTAATAGACTACAAATTGAAAAGAGAAAAAAGCTCATTTCCCTGTCACCCTGTGGCAGTCCCAATCTATAGATCCCTCTCAGCTGTGGTACCATGCCCAGACCCGCACAGTTGTGATCGCAGTCCTATAGAGGAATAAGGAGACAGTTCATGGTGGAGCTGAAGTCATCGGCAAGGCATCCGCCAGAACAACCACCAAAACAAAGCATCCCTGTGTCCCTCTAACACAAGATTGATTTTAAACAAGAGGCCGGACTGGCAGCAGCAATGGAACTAACAGATACAGTTTGACCTTGTTTGCTCTGTACTCTCATCACTGTTTGATGATCATTGGTATCTCTGCAGGTCAATTAGCTAAACATTCCCACTGAAAACTGTAATATTCTGGGCCAAAATGAAAAAATAGGAGGAATGTACCGTGGCTGTACACGAGTTCTCGGTTAAGGGACAATACCACACACACACACATCTCCCAGAGCGCTGAGCAAGGCTTTATAGAGATAAGCAAGAGGCTGATCTTGAAAGTTGCAGCCAAAGCACTGGACTATGGAAAGTTTCCTTTGGATGTGGCGCCCGTCGCCCCGAGGAGCACAGAGACGGAGGTCATGTCCGCCCTTGATAGCCTGCTGTTTTATTCTCCTCTCTCCAGAGTCACAGTCACAGTTAATCTCAGCTCAGCGCCCCGCTGTGCCCGACCCCAACCTGCCACCACCGTCTCCGTGCCCGCCACATCACCATGGCAACAGGGACAGGCTGTGTGGCAAGCTCGTGCACGAAGTCACACACTTAAAGAGTAAAAATTAAAGATGTTCTGAGTTGCAATACACATGAAAATATACTGAATCTCTCTGAACAGTCAGAGATGGCTGTACCAAACACGGACTGGACTTCTGTAGTCTACTGTACTGTAGACCCCGCCTTCTCTCTCCCACTCGCTTTTGGAGAGACAATGGTCAAATCAATAGGCCACAAATACACACAGAAAAACAAAGTGGCCTGTGTTACGTCCCTGCTGCTTTCAAATAAACAAGAGTAAGAAAACACAAAGAAGGCACTGACACCACACACACACACACACACATGCACACACTGCAGTGGAGCAGAGGGCTCCTGTTCATTTATTCTATGTTGTAGGAGTTTGGAGCTGGTTTATGCATGGCAGCCGAGTGCATCTGCCCTTCACATTAATCACACTACAAACTCAATCTAACTAAATTCAAGCATTTTCAATCAACGTTTTCTTGCTAAATCTTTAGCAAGATCCTTACATGCTACATATCTGTATGTCTGAAGAAAATACAGTATGTGGGTTAGAAAGAGCGTGTGTGCGTGTGTGTGTGTGTGTAACTGTTGAAAACCTATTAGCATTCTGTGAATGATGCTACAATATTTATTAACTTATTATCGGGACTACCATACTTTCACCATGTGTGTGTGTGTGTGTGTGTGTATACAGATGGCCTTTCTGTGTTGGTATGACATCATCCACATGCTAAACCTACACAGACATCACATCACATATTCCAGAGTCATAGCTGCCTACACTCAGCACAGAAGCACATCAGATAAAAGAGACATTTCTAAAAGGACCTGTGTTCTACAGAGAAATAAAAGAACCAAATGTGGTTATTCAAGATATAATGGGAGCTTGATTGGGTGCCACTACACTGCGTTGCATTTGAGTTTTAATACGCTGCTGATAATTCAGCCCTTTGTCTTATGGTGTGTGAGCATTACTTCCCAACATGGAAGCTAAAAAACACACAGAAGGTCAAAAGCTTAACTATATGCTGCTTAGGTCATCTAAGGAGGCCCTACTGTGCTTGTTTAAAGCTCTTTCTTAGTGTTTTTGAACACTACTTTTGTAGTTTAGTATACTTTACAGTTTAAAATAATCTCTATTTATCCTTGATGCTGCCACTCAGTTCACACATTGTCTGAAACAAATTTCCAACCCTTTTACCCTCCCTTTAAGCTAGCTTACTTCTGATTGGCTGTCTTTGTATACAGAAAACAGCAGGTGGGTGGGGCTACTGTGCTCAAAGCCAAAGCTGTGTTCCTGACCCTATTAGGGATGCCCACACTCTATGACATCATACAGAGTCAAGAGCAGAAAAAACTGTGTGAAGTGTTGTGTTTGGAGCAGTCTGAGCTGGCCTCAGTGTTTACAACTGTGTTTATTACATTTTGGTCCACTTTCACAACTCACTGTTTTCAGAGTAAAATCTCTAAGGAGAAGCTCAGTGATTAACACTAAAGAACAGAGAAATAAAGTTAGTTAACTGGAAAAAACATAATGCTGCATTTAGCAGGTAAATTTTCCTATTAACTGTTAGGCTGACGTGACCTGACAGATAACATCATTTCATACAGGCGATATCAAAGTGTTTACACTGTAAATGCAGAGAAAGTGTTTGCTGGGATTATTACAAAAGCCACAATCAGTTCTGCTGCCTCAAATTGGCCAAGGAAGATTGAAACAAACAAACAAGAAGATAGGAACACCTGATTTACCAGTGATGAACTCACCCGCCTCGGAAAAACTGGATCGGTATTTTAGAATGGACGCTTATTACTGTATTCAAGACAATTTAATAATGAGGTTTACACTAAAGAGAAGTGAATATGACGCTGCTGATGGCAGCCTAGCATAAGAAAGCAAACCAACCCTGTCCAAAGCAAGTTACACAGTTCACTTACCAGCATTTCTAAAGCTCAGGATGTGTCATGTAAAATTTCTAAAATGGAGAATGGAAGAAGTTGGCTGGAGCATATTCGAACAGAGGTAATCTAAGCTAGCCATCTCTTGGCTAAATGACTTTATAATTTAACAAATAAACACTAGAAAAGTGTTTTCAGAATTCATCTGTACATGAAAAGTCTGCTGTGGAGCTACAATCTCTAACGTGACGTGAAATCTCTG